TAAAAGGGCGTCTTCCTTCACGTGGTATTGCCAAATTATCAAAAATTAACACTGGCTTCCATGAATACCTGGATGGCCTACATTTTGACTAAAAGCCACTTATTAACCAATTGCACACAGATGAATAGTCACTGTGAAAAGCTAAATTTTTTTGTCACTCTCACTAAATTGTTGATTTCTCTGCAACTCTGTCCATGAAAAATGTCATGTATTCCATCCATGGATAATATTTAGTTTTGCATGTATTACAACACTTTTCCATGTCCCTGAATATATTATTTACTAATCATATGTTGTTTTCAGGGTGTGTTCTTAATAAGGAGACTGTGAATGAAAGGTACAGTTAAGCTTGCACTGGGGACAAGGGAAGATGAAATTATAAAGCACTAAAATCAAAACAAACACGTGGAGAACCCAGTGTCAAACATTAGTTTAAATTTTAGATGTTCTTTCTAAGGCTGTAACTGGCTGTTCAGTTTGTTTGTGAATGTCACTAAATGTAGAAAAAGCTGTCGGCTGCATAAAGCGGTTAGACATAAAGATTTTGTTGTTTGATCACTATTCATCACCATCCATCACTTTTGCTGCACAAATGCAAAATGTCCATCGATACCACTTACATAAAACAGATAAGAAGAACAGATGAAACTACATTCCAGCTCATCTTTAACACTTAGCATTTAAGATGCCATTGCTATTCAGTAGGTAAGGCTCAATCGTTTAAAGGCCTTGGTGTGAGTCGCCTAGTAAACAAACGTAACTTCGGTTAATGTGATACTATTGCAAGAATTGCTCTCTCTGTGTCCTCGAGGTCTTCGTCTTGAAGCTATTGTACAATACTCTGTTGTTTACCTCTTTTATATTTGCTGTTTCTTTGCTCTTTTTGTTGGCACAGGTCACTTGACCATTACCAGCACCAGCTGGAATAACTCTGAACTGGCAGGAAGTTTGCACACCACATTAAGCTTTTGCTTGAACCTTGTCCCTTTGTTTGTGTCATCTTATCCATGCACACGAGTAGCTATACTTGTGTAACAGCTAGATGGACCATTTAGTGGAATTTGCATGTTCTCCCTGTACCTGCGTGGGCTCTGGCTGCCTCCCACAGTCCAGAGATATGCATGTTAGGTTAACTGGTGATTCTAAATAGGCGAAGGTGTGAATCTGAGATTATATGGCTGCCTTTCTCTGTGTGTTGTGATTGACTACGTATTTGTCCAGAATGTACTCTGCCTTTTTGCCCATTGCTTTGCCTGCTGACAGTGTTGTGTTATAAATCAAGCACACCCATTTGCCCTGCTATAAATGCTCAGACTCACTGTTTACAGCCGCACACAAGATGACCAAAAGAGAGTCTTCGGTCAGTAAGATCAATCTAGAGGAAGCTCTCGGGGTTTCATAGTTGAACCTGTTGAAGGATTATTAGTTGCCTGCAGCTGTCCTTGTCCCTGGATTTCTCTGAGTCTTGCAGCCTCTCCACTTTCACAGTAATCGGTATCAGTTGACTGTTGGCTCTCTGTCAGTTACCCTGTGGCTACCGTGTTGGTCTCCCAAGGCATGGAAGTCATTGGAGGCATGCTTGCTGTTATAGTCAGGGTCTAAAACTTCCTACTGAAGCAGCCTGCTCTCCTACCACCAAATTATTTTAAAATAAAAGGATAAGGTTAAAGGATTATTTAACATCATTATCATTACTGTAAATAAGATTGTAATGTTGATGGAACAGTAGAACTCCATTTTAAGCCTTTTACTGATATCTAACATGATCCTCCATCAAAAACAAAACAAAAAACCCCAAAACAAAACAAAGCAAGCACCTCTGTTCTTCCCTTGTTCTTCCATTACAAGTAATTTTGAGTCCAGACGAGGTTTGCACAGTTTTATAACCCATCCTGATTTCCTGTGTCTTTGTCTACAGTAAGACTGAAAAAAGGCAGATGATTCAATTAACAAGACAATGTTGGAACTGAGAACTCATCAGTTAGTGATGATCAATTTAATGATCAAAGTTTTAATGGGAAATGGGGTTTTTTCTTTTCTTTTTTTTCTTTTTTTTTTTTAGGATAACCCCAGCAATTGCACAGGAAAAGCAGACCCCATTGATGCATCCCTTTGAGCTCAAAAACCACTTCTGTGCCTGAGACATTTCCATATTTACAGGAAACTTTGGATTTCACGAAACGGAGAGTTATTCTTTCAGCATTCAGTAGATCTTAGTTTGACAAAGTGGATTGGACTGAATAACACAACAGCTTTTTGCTGAGTTTTTACTTGTTCCCTGAAGTACTGTTTTGACTAAGGCATGTTGGCATAGTTAATTTGACAGATTATAGTCGCCATTGCCAAATTATTGCTTAAACTCCCCTGTGTAGACAAGTACTGTTTGGATATGTTGGAGTGTTTAAATGCATGTTTTTGGGTAGCAGTTTGTCTATAAGTAGTTTCATTTACATCCACGTGTGGACCTGCATGCATGTGATAGTTCATGCTTCTTTTATGTAGCTGACCTTAGCCGAGGGTATGCCAGCAGCCATTTATCTTTTATTCATTTTACCAGCCATCTGTGACCAGGGCAGCTTCTCTGCCACTGATGCTTGTTAAAGCAGAACCCGCTCCAAGAGGTGCAGCATTCTGCAGTTGGTACACTTTGGAGGGCAAGTTACTTTTTTGATTCCCTAGAATTCACCAGCCATTATCACTATTTTGACAGCCAAAGCAAATTTTGTCATTGAAAAGAGCTTCCTGTTGTTTTGTTACCTGCTGCGGCTGCTAGAAAGTCCTTAGCAGCCACCACTGTTTTTGTTCACACCCTGCTAGTTACAGAGTGCTTCTGACTGAGTGTGCAGCTCAAACATCTGTCAACACCTCAGTTTGATAGTTATAGAAGCCAGACCATCACTGAGAGACAATGTTCCAGTGCTTCTTTCTCTTACCTAATTTTCTCCACCTGGCTAGGTCATGATTTCCTAATTTTGGTACACCAGGTCATCAGAAAATAAAGCATTTATAGGAGTAGAATTACACTGCTGACAATGTCTTTGGATAAACAAAACAAAAGAGACCGTCTTAAAACACAACACATAGATTACAGGGGAAAAAAATCTTTAAAGTGAAATATGTCCACAAGCATCTACGGTAGATGTGTTTTTTTTATGCGTCTTGGGACCAAACTGTTCCTACAAAATATAAACCTTGTTTTTCAGTTTTTTTAATATTCATAACTACAGCAGAGAGCATGATCTTCAATATGTTGATCCAATATCTCCCACAGTAAACATTGGTGGTTGGAGTTGGTAACTGTAAAGGTCATCGCATGCGATTCGCATCAATTTTACACTCATCAAACATTCACTTGAACCCTTCTGCCCTGCATGGAATAGCAATGATCAGACACTAATGGCGTTAACTTTTCCTTTTCATTGCAGCGCAGAGAATGTGGCAGTTTTTAAATTTGAAAAGGAGAGCGCTAGTATCCAAATAGCACCTGTTGTCCATGATATTGACATCTGTATTAAAGAGAAAATCTTATCTAACAAGCTTGTATGGAAGAATCTATATTTGTCGTGTTTCTTGTTATTTGCTTTTCTCTTTTCATTCATAGATAAAGGTATTTCTTCACTTTTTCCACCAAGAGAATAACAGCTATCACAGAAAACTGCAAATCTCAGTAAACCATTTCTAATAAGTTAAGTGTCGGTTGTACATTGTTGTTTACACTGAATCTTTACGCTACCATATTTTTATACTTAATTTTTATACTTTCTTCATGATAATAATAAACATTATATGAACTGAGATGAAAATGATAGTTTCGGTGAAAGCCAGTTTATTTCCCTGGCAGAGTTTTAGGAGAACTTCTTAAAGGCTGTCATATCCAAATGATGGCAAGCGTCGGGATTACATCAAGCATCTCATTTAAATGCTCACTGATTGCTCAATTTGTTTCTATAAAGGAATGCTTGAAGGCATTTACAGTACAAAAATGAGATCCCAGGTATCTCATAATGACATGTCATTGGTTTCTGGGGTCACTCTGATTCTACTTAGCTAGTCATCAGCTTTCGGTGAGAACCCAGTTCTACTGTGTGAAATTCTCATTACCAGACTCACTAAATCATTCCTGCTTGATCATCCCCAACAAAGATCATTTGTCTCACATGAGATTCTGCAACGAAGCTATTATTCCATACTTGTCCCATGTTGATCACGCAGTAAGATGTGGTATAGATGTCAGCGTCCTCTCCAGAGACTTAAAAGACTTCCCAGTGAACAGCAACGTTTTTCCCATGTGCTTGTTGACATCAGCTAATATAACTGTTATTAGTAGAGAGAGACTTCCAGATTTAGCAAGGAGAAGCTGATTTGACATGTGTCAACCTCTAGTTTTAGTCCTTATTTTTCTCTTTGGCTCCACTCTACTCTGCTGAATCTTTCATGTAGTTTACGTCTTTGATCTGGAGCCTTTGATGGTGGATTGTAAATACAAAACCAACGTGTTTTCTGTTGCTGTCAGGGTTAGTGTTTGACACCTGTGTGATGGATTTGTTCATCAGTTTCTTTGTGTTGAAGAGGCTCCCGCTTTCTTAGTTTGAGGCAGTGAAGGCAGCGTGTCTGTCACACTTTGTGCTCCCCTCGGGAAAACAATCTTTAGCGTTTGTTATTATGAGGAAGACAGTCAGAGACCTGTACAGATTTGGGTTTTGCTGAATATAAACAAGAGCTAATGTTTAATAATGTGAATCTTCAGGGGGATTCTACTTTGCTTGGGTACTAATTGGCTAAAAATGTGAAAACACTACATCCATTGTTACAAATAATAAGTTCAATGTTTTTAATTGTGCTTTGTTCTGCACTTGGGAATAATTTAGATATTTATGAAACATGTTATCGGATAAAATAAACATGTAGTTTCCCCTTAGCTCTTATTGCATTTTTTACTACAAATAAATAAATAAACTCTCCATCATCCAACCAGTTTGCCTTTTCTTTTTTCCCCCCAGATGATAACTGTAGACTGAGCGACTACCGACGGCTGAAAAACAAGATTCTGGATTTGCATGAGAAACGATACATGGGGACTGCCAGCCATGGGAAACACAAGGACAGCATGGTGGCCAAGAAGCAACTGGTTGATGTCATGTTCAAACGCTTTGATACAGACAATAACGGTCAAATAGATGCCAGCGAGCTCTCACAGGTAAGAATATGGGAGTAAAAATGAGCTTGACTATGCCACTACATATTCCCCCTTTCAAAAATGAATGTGGTATTAGTGTGTGTTTGGCATGAAGGTAACATACTGCTTAACCTCGACTCACAAGCTAACACTGGTCTTAAGGTATTTTTTAAAGCATCATTTAAGTACAGAATAAAAAGGTTTGCTTCCCATTTCAAGAGATTTCACAGTATCTGTCATGTCTGTCAAAACTTGAGAGCCATTTCATTTAAATATCTCATCAAAGGGGGATAAAAAGTGAACAAACCATCTGTGCGCTCAGGTGTTTAAACTGTCCTCTTTCATGTGTGCCAGAATTGTGTCCGTTTTACTCCTTTTACCCTTCCCTCTGGTAGCTGTTGTGCATCGCTCAAGGTAAATCTTTTGAAAAGCAATGTGGGTCAAAGGAGCCATGAAGCTTAAGGGAGGCTACAGCCTTTGACCAGCACTACCAAGAGGGATGTTGTAAAAAAGACCTTTTTGTGGCTGCCGTAAGGAAGGAAGATATTCTGTGCATATCAAATAAAGTCTCCCAGTACCCCGGGATTGAGTTAATATAGAGCTTATTTGAATAATTGAAGGGGTAAGCAACCCGCAGTGGTTTTCAAAACCATCATATCAGTTCCTTTTCTTCTGTTATCTTCCTGCTGATCCAGTAGGAAATCCTGCGTGTACAGAGGTCACCTTGGTAAGCTTTGTCAGTGCCCTTTCCTCTGACTCATTAGATCAATATTTTAGCACAGGAGGTTTATGGCATATGGCCACAAAATAGTGATATTTTCATATTATTTACATATTTTTACATGTTTTAACATTAAATGGTACTCCTTGCCAGCTTGAGAGAAATCAATGCTCGGTGAATAAAATACATAGTCAACAAACTATGTTGGACTGGTATGCCTGTGAAGGTTCTCAGTCATCCCCCCAGGGGGTTCATGACCCTCTTGGGGGACGCTCCCCTAGGACTTCAATCTGGGACTCTCTACCATTTGACCTTAGAGCTGAAGAAGCTTCTCGTTGATAGGTGAAACATCTTCAAGCAACTTAAAGAGACGCTTTTCCTTCCAAGCTCCTTAGACCGTGTTGGACTGGGTTTTATGGAAAAACATTGCCAATATACCCCAAGTGTTAATATGAATATGCCCTTTCAACCTATTTAATATTACTTTGGCCTGGTTTTTAACCCTGTTTGTAAATGAGATGTAATCTTTTCCTCTGCAGAGTTGATACCCCCACCCCCACCAGGTGTTTTGAATCATGCAGGCTAATAATATACGTCCAAATGGAGGAACTGTTTTCAGGGATTCCTCCAAGTCTGTTTTTAGCCCTCCTCCCATTTTTGTTGTTTACATATATGGGAAATTTGGCATATTTCATGCAGAGCCAGCCACATAAACCTCATTCACAGGAAAATGGAGAGAAGGGAGCACTTTTGGGAAGGGCAGAAATTGAAATATCAGTGAATTGCAGGTGGCCCTTATGGGGGTTTCAACTGAATTTATTATTTTTTTGTTCATACAGATATGCTTTTTTTCATGAGCCTACCTGACTTTGGGGTATGCATGCAGTAGTTAACCAAGAAACTTTTTTTCATTTGTTTTGTTATTTACCTTGGAGAAAATATTGTCCAAAAAAATCCATCAATGCAACAGTCCAAACTGTATCTTTGTTTGCCTGTAGTAAGTGAAGACTATTTACATGTTTACTTTACAGGCATAAAAATGTTTCTGATTAATTTAATTCACCTCAGAATAACTACATAATGACAGCAGGACAAATATCGCTTCGAAATAGGTTTCTCCATCTAATCAGTCAGTTAACAAACAAAGGCTCTCATGGGTTAATAGCGCTTCACCATCATGGCTCCTATACCAAATTAATAATTTGTTTTCAAATGGATTCTCTGCTTTATTGAGTAGTTCTTCAGAATTTTTTTTCAGAGTAATTCATAACTCAACTTAAATGATGTAAGTTACACAGTAAGGTTATGACTCTCTTAACTTGTACTGGCAGGGCCATGCATGTTTTCTTAACCTCATCTGCTTGAGCTGGCACTGAGTTCTATCTTATTAAGAAATTATAATTTTGAAAGAAGAGATTAATGCAAATCAAATTTGGCCTGAACAAACCTTCAAAAAGAACTACATAAGCAATTCACACATTTTTCATCAGTTTAAAATTACAAAATTATGGCTGCCACCCGCATGGCCTAAAGCACCCTTTATAATTGGAGCATTCTCTGATCTCATTTGAAATTCTAGGACAGAAATCCCTCACTTGGACTTACTCAATGTGCTAGAGTGTGCACATGAAGTGACACAGGGAGCAATTGTTCCTGCCCTTTTAGTCTAGAGTGCCCTTTTAAAATGGCAAATCAAAACATATTTTTTCTTCATGCATTCATCGTATCTATCATTGTACCAAAGATAATATTTGAAGATTTATCTTTTACTAGAAAAAAAAAATAAAACACTGCTTCTTGTCCAGTGTTGATCCTGATATACCGTTTATTGTCTACAAAAAGCATGATAAAAGATGCTGTAGAATTTGCTGTAAGAAGAAACATTATGTAAGTTTTTTTTTTCAACTTGCATCTATAAACTTTTAAATATAGTACAAATCTCAAGGTTCTAACTAATGGAAAATTGCTCTTTTAAATCTCTGCAGAAGTCTAGTCTGAGTTGTTATCAGGTCTGCAAATATTTCTAAAAGAGCTGAATTCAAATTAAGAGGAGTGCGAACAGGTGACTTCTGATCCCTCTTTTGGGATTTTGGGGGGCTAAAATAGATATAAAAAATAGATATAACGAATTTGCAAATCTTTTGAAACATTCATAGCACAGTCACTGAAGATCTTGCTTCATAAGTCACACATCCTAGTATGAGTCCTGCAGTATTGTTTTGTACTGCAGTACCTAATTCATCCTCTTGACAATACAAAAGGTTTTCTTTTTGTTTTTTCTTTGCAGATTCATGCATGCAGGGTTTACGACTACCCTCTTTTCACATGAATAACACAGAATCTTATTTTGTTTGTGTAAAAAAATAGTAAAGGTGGATAAAGAGGAGGCAGATGCAACTTTAAAACTTTTGAAAATGTAAGGGAGATGATGTGTAAATTGTTATGGTTATGAGGGAAGAGCAGAGTCGAGAGTGAAGGAGATGAAAGCACATCTGGAATGCTGGAAAATGTTCACATACAGCAAGGTTTCCACCAGTGTATTGCAAGCCTGGAGGCGCAACAGGGGGTTAACTTAAGCATCCCAGCTGAACAACCTTTCTAGCAGGAACCGTATAGTTATGGTACATAATGTCTGTATTGCAAGAATAGGTTCCGTGTAAGTAAAAAAAAAATAAAACTCAGTGTAACTGCTAATTGTAAGACATATGTTCTGTCTGGGTAACCAGCCAATGTTCCATTGGCTTTGTAAATTAAGGTTCAATTTAAAACAGGCAGAAGCTGCAATCTCAATACACATATATCTGGTTAACCTATCGATGATTTGCCTCAGATCATTTAGCTCACATGGTCCACTGAACATGTGCAGGATATGTTACTGCTTTGTTGTTCTTTTTTTCTCCAGAGGAGTCACTGGAAAAACACTGTAGAAACAGAAATGGAGTTTATGCATCAAAGCCTGCAATTCCAATGCATAAAAGTCTCTTAAATGCCACATCACTCCAGGTGATGAAAAGACCAAAAAGCAAGCAAAGAAAGGAGCAATGAGTAAAAACTGTTTTTGAGTTAAAATCATCTTCTTTTTAAAAAAAATTTCTAAGCCCGAGAATGAAAAGAATGAAAATAGAAAATTTGTACATTGAATTCTTTTTTTTTCAGTGATTCAACATTCAAATTAAAGTTAGGTGTAGCTCACATAGCATCACAGGTAACTCTTAAATTTTGGGCAAGTCATCTGGGAAAGGGAAGTGCACTGATCCGATGGACAATGCATGATGTATAAAGCCGTCCCTTGTGATCAGCATTTTGACAGCTGATCTAGTATGATGGATGTTTTACTGCCAGGGCCATGCAGAAGGTGTGGAATAGGATCATGTTTTTATCAGGATGATGACAAAAACTGCAGTATTTTGGACCTGTTCATCCACTGTTGTGACAGAACTTCATTGACTTTCAGTTTGGCTACAATGCAAATGTTACTGAACATGACCACAGCCTTCATAGACTGACACTTTACCTGAAGGAACTGTAGAACTTTTAAATATTAATCTGAAAAGCCAATGATTAACAAAACTGTCTACTATTTTGTAGTTTTGTGACCGTACGGTTCTACAAATACTAAAACCATTGTATTTGTTTTTCAAATTTAAACTTTCAATTGTTAACTGGCTTTGTCTGAGTAAACAAGATGGGGGAAATGGCCTGACATTGCGTAGTTTTTCCAGCAGAGGGCACTTTGCAATTTGGCTTTTGGCAACACACATGTTTGAAACACAGCAAGCATAAAAACTACATGATCTAAGCAGATTTGGCCAGTGTAAATCACTAAATAAATAACTACGTATAAGAAATGCTAGCAAAATTTTAAAATGCGCACAATTTTAAAATCACCAAAATATCAATATTGGCCTTAACAATCCTATGTTTGGGCTTCGGTATAGTGAGTGGAGAATTGGAGAATATAGTTGATATCTGGGCCATTACTTCCTTTTTTGCGCATAATTACAAGCTGGTCACGTCATCATTCCAGCACAGAGGTGGATTCAAACCCATCATCTTGTTACTGTGAGGTGACAATGCTAGCCACACAACTTGTCAAAGAGTAGATGCAAATAAGGTTAACGTAAAAAACTTAATTGACCTGAGATAGTACCCGATGGTTTCGACTTTGCATTTCAGCCAGTGCATTCCAGTTTTAGTGAAATCGTTTTCTTGGCAATTAGATATATGGTACTCAAATTTTCATTTTGTAATGACATGTGTAATCCAAGCAACACCTATTGTTTCTTAGATTTAAACCTGGGGTAAACAAATTTTTTTTGCATCAGTGGACAAAAGATCTATAATGATCTTACCACCTACTCATATCTTGCATCACTTGATCTCAGTAGGTCACATGATAGGGTGAGACAAGGTCTCGCAATGTTTCACCCGGACCTCTGCTGATGTCCTTGGCTCATGTGATGAGGCACATGATCAATAGCGGGTCAACAACCATCTTAAGGGACAACTCGCACTAGGGTTTAAATACCTGGGACTCTCCACCATTTGGTCTTAGAACTGAAGAAGCTTCTCGGATGAAAAGTCTTTAAGACACTTAAAGAGGTCCAGTCGCTTTTCTTTCCAAGCTTCTTAAATTACCATGACCTGGATGATTGAGAACCTACACAGACAATCCATATTAGCCTTTGTTTGCCTCATCCCACTTAAAATGGACTTAAAGGCAACTGGACATCTGTCCCTCTACTGTGTTCAGCTTATTAGGATATACATGTCTGGTGGGCTTAGAGCAGAAAGCAAGTTTAAACCTACACAGATATGTGTTAAACCTACACTTCTCTATGTAGGTTTAACTGTGCTGATTACTCACTGTAGACTGAATAAGCAGTGCCATCACTGCTGTGGTTTACTTTAAGAGACATCAAATCCTTTGGTGGAAAAGAAAAATGTTATTAGTCAACATCTGGCTGATTTGTTTAGTGGCAACATTAATTGCATAGAGGTTTTGTTTTATTATAATTTCTGGAACAGTACTGAAAAAAACCAACAGACACACACAAACAGAATTAAAAAAAATGCTCTTAACCTTCTTTAACCAACGATTGATGCATTCTCATTGAAGGTCATCAAGCAAGAAGGTCTATCCAAGGACATCTCTGAATGCACATTGTTTGACTTGCTGAAGTACAACGACGTGAACGATGATGAGCACCTTACGAAAGAGGAGTTCTACACAGCCTTTGGTGAGGATACAGTTTTGTTACTCCCATCGTCTGTTTACATTGTTCAGTAAAATATATATCAGATGTGACAGAAATGTATTTTTAAATTTGCAGTTTTAGTCAATACTAAATAATAGCTCTTGTCTTTAAAAAAAACTATATTTTAAAGTTGATGGTTCATATTGTCCTAGTGTGTAAACATTACGACAATGTTTACAATGGCGTTCTTTTTACCCAGTTGTTAGTTAATTGATTTGGAAAGTAGTGCAGTAATTATGAGTATTATGAGAAAACAGAGAGTAAATTGAAACCCTGGAAAAAAAATCTCTCAGATGCCACGACATAATTAATGTGTATACTCATATTTCATTGATACTGATGCTCATTTCTTCTTTATTCTCCTTTTAATAGCATAAAAGTATAGAATAGCCCTTTATTTGTCCTTGCACACTTACAACGAGTACACATACAACTGTGCTGGAATAAAAAATAAATAGTAGACAGCAGGAATAAATGGCAAATAGGAGAAATATATACAATCAAGAGGGATGTATACAAAACAAAAGAAATATATACAAAAATAGGAGAAAGACACACATTAGAGAACAATGAGTGCAAAGCAAAAACATAGTCTGAATAGAGTCTGTGTGTGAGGGGTCTGAGTGATGAGGGTTCTCAGACCATGGCTTAGATTATTGAGGTGGGTGGGCAGGGGTGGGTTGTCAGGGATAGTGTTTATTGAAAGTCTGCATGGCCAAGGGGAAGAACCTGTTTACGAGTCTGGAGGTGAGGGACCTGATTGACCAGAGGGCAACGGGTCAAAAAGGTGGTGAACGGGGCGCACGGGGTCACCTGTGATGGTTCTGGTTTTCCTGGGACATAAGCAATTTTTTTAACGTGTGTAAAACCTTTGGTCTTCATAAAAGAAATATGATTGATTGGTAATTTATTTCAACATGTTAACAATATACAAGTACATTTAGAAAAGAAAATAAGAAAGAAAAAATACTATACAAATTACATACAAAAAAAAAATGTTCTGATTAATTTACATGTTGAAAGGGAGTGGGAAGAAGTAAACACTTATTTAATCCCACCCCTTTGCCATAAATTATCAGTTAATATTTAGTCAGCTTCCTTACTGATATAATTTGTAATAAAAATAGTGAACAGATTTCTGATATACTATATACTATAATATCACATCATGAGTTTTTTTTGTTTGTTTGTTTGTTTTTTAAATAGAGACATTCACTTAATTTAAATATTTTCCTTTTCTTTATAGTTCGAGAAGATCATATTTTTATAACTCTTTTTGAACAGTTTTATGTATGCAGTTAATTAGGCTTTGATTGAGTTTTTCTTTGAAATCTGAGAAGAACCTAACTTGTTATTAACATTTGAACTGACAGCCTGTTTCTGTTCTTTTGGCCATTACAAAGTTAGGATTGTGGTAAACCTCGAGAAATATGTGATGTCTTGCCAAAGTTTACTCACTGAGACCTGCAGATTGTTGCCAACTGTGTTGTACTATTGAAGGAGTTCAAAGTGGAAATGGTTCAAAAGAAAGCAGGTCACAACTTCTTAGAAACAGTAGTTCAATCCAAATCTCCATCATTAGGCAGCATAAAGACAACAGGTGCTGTGTGATATCTGAGTCACACTAACACATGTGCACCAGTTTCTGTCTTTTGTTTCCTTCCTATTCACGGTTCCTCCCTGTCTGACATTTTCAGTCAGCTCAATATCCTCTGACAGAATATCCTCTGACATTTGGCTGGCTTGACACATTTAGCAGAGGGAGAGAATTCATAATCAACCTTCATCTTATCAGCCCTTTGTATTTGAAGCATTTCCTAGAGGAGACCAAGAAAAAAAAGTCACAGGAGCAAATGACAAAGTGCAAGAGTCTCATCTAGTCTGCTGGATTCCACATCATACATGAATGTGTGGGAGAGAAACCCCTTCTGGCAAGTCACAGAAACACAGAACCCCATTCTTTGAAGAGTTGAGTTGCTCTGTCTCTTCCTTTTCTAGGTTTCAGAGGATTCTTTTTTTCTCAAGTTTCCAACTTAACTGCTCACAAGGAAATAGGATATTTAATGTGAGTAAATAAACTCTGTGATGGAGTTTCTTTCAACCTGCCTTACTCCTCTTTTAGACTTTTTCATTTTTTTTATCCTTGCGTGCCACTTTATGTTACTATTTAGTGACAGCGGATAATTATCCAAGTGCAGAATTAATCTTTGGATAAGCTATTTTTTAAGACGCTTTACTGGAAATTGCTTCTATATTGATGTTAATAGTTACAGAGGCAATCAATAAACAATATGCTAGCACAGCTGAAGTAATGTGTCTTTGTCAACAACTCAGGATTTCTGAGTATATTAATATAGAAAACAGAAATAAATCCACAATACTTTCAGTGGTAAAAGTTCTCATGTAACATACTCATTTTCCTGTGTATATCTCAATGTGAGATAGAAATACATATAAAGCAAAAAATATTTTTGTTTTTTTATTCCATCCCATGTGGGCAGTATCAGATTGCTCAAAGGAATTCAACTCTCTTCACCGAACACTCAATATTGAATACTTGGTTTACTGACGTGCATTACATACCTGGAGGTCATGGTAGTACTCAGCTTGTGCTTCTTCACTCTATTCATGTCCAAACCTGTTTCTCTCTCCTAAATACTTCCATCCTTTCAAGATAGGCCCACAGCTCAGAAAGAAATGATGATAAAAAGACCAACATCTCTAGAGACTTAACAGCGTGACTGAAGAATTTAGTTCTCCTAATTTCTATGTAAATGTACTTATCTATCATATAGTCAGCAGAGAGAGGTGATAGTAACTCTAGTGTAGTATAAAGTGTCTTTCTTCTAGATACTGACCAGAAAGCCAACACCCCAATCCACTGCCATTCCTTCAAGTTGAGAAGCAGCGAAGTAGTTAATTTTATAGAAATACATCTTTCTAATTATGGAGGAATCAATAAGGGGAGCTAGTATTAAAATATTTAATCACCAGTGTTGGGTAAGTTACTTTAAATTAGTAACTTAGTTACATTACTAGTTACTTCTATCAAAAGTAA